CTTCTTCTTCTTCTTCTTCTTCTTCTTCTTCTTCTTCTTCTTCTTCTTCTTCTTCTTCTTCTTCTTCTTCTTCTTCTTCTTCTTCTTCTTCTCCTCCTCCTCCTCCTCCTCCTCCTCCTCCCTTATGTTTTCCTTCTTGTTTTATATTGAACCTACACATTATTTTTTTCCCTTTTGTCCTCTCTGTCACATCTTCTTTATGAAGTACTTTTTCCTTCTTTTTTTACTTAAACTATTTCTTTATTTTTTTTAAATTTTTCTCTTCCCACATTTCTTATTCTTTACTGAACTTTCTTTTCTTCTCACCATTCTTATCTTCCATTCAGTTCACCTTTCCTACATTTCACTTTGTTTTCCATATGCATTCTTTTTCTTATTGTCCAAATGAATGAATGACCTTGTCAATATATGTATTAGATCTCTTTTCAATCTAATTCAACTTTAAATCCAGCGCCTCACACCATCTCAGACACCCTCTAGAATCATGAGTCTCAAAAGAATAAGTTTTCCATACATTCTGTAATTGCATTTTCTATTTAATAAGGAAGATAAATTTTCCATACAACTTTTCGAATAAAGGTTTCTGATGACATTAAAGAAACAAAATCTCTGAAAAATCTACAGAAACAAAGGACCAAAGGTGAATAAAAGCATACAAAATGGTTCTGTTTGAATAAATGTTTAGTAGGAATCAATTAGATTACGTACGACATGCACATATCAATAAATTCTGCATGAAGATCATGAATTGCATGCATCTATTTTACAAAACACTTTAATTTTTTTCAGCCTTTTTAAATAAATCTTCTGACAAAATTCACCCAATTTTGACAAGATTTGTTAACAAAGAAGACCAGACAGCAAACATCATCATCTTTCTACAAATAAAAGAATAAAGAGGGTCACATTTACTACAAATTCTCTGATGTGACTACAAATAAATATAATACAATTATTACCTTCAGCTTTAGATTTTTTTCCAATCAAAACACTTTATGCTAAAATCATAATAATAATGCTGGTGTTATGCAATTTATTCGATCTTGTTCAGGGAAATGTCTGGCTCTAGGCCATGTTTTGTGTCCAATTTCCTATTTTTCTTTCTATCTCGTGGGAAAGAAATGGCTTGTAGTTTAATCTCCTTCCAGAAAATTACAGCTTTCATCTTGTTATTTGAAAAAATATCTTTTCTTATAACTCCTCATTTAGAAATAATAACACAAATCTAAATTAATTTCACAATTAAAATGTTTCAATAATTATCAATCTTTTGCATATTGTTGTTATTCCTGATATAAATATATCTTAATTTTACTTTTATTTTTGATCATTGTCAAAGGACAAATATACATATCTTTCTTTTTATGTCATGTCCTCTCAGGACATAGGTGATCATGGCTCTCCACTTCCTCCTATCCCTTGTAGCTTTCAATAAGTTTCGTGCTTCTGCCACATTCCCTAGGCCACATTCTGTCATCCACTTGCTCAAGCTTGCCAGGTATATCCGGTACTGCTTTCCCTTGTCTCTCTTTCCCCCTATTCGACCCGTCAGTATCAGATTCTCTAGGCTATACTTACTCATGATGTGTCCCAGAAACTTCAGCTGCCTCTTCCTGATGTTAAGTATAAGCCTCCTCCTTGTTTGCATTCTCTCCAAGACCACATCATTGCTCATATGCTCAATCCATATCCTCAGCATCCTTCTGTAGAACCACATCTCCGTCGCCTCAAGTCTCTTTTTCATCTTTGAGAAGACCTTCCAACATTTGCTGCTGTAAAAGAGGACAGATGTCATGTAACACCTCAGTACTCTTTTCTTTGTTACCAAAGAAATCCTCCTGTCCCGCAATACTCTGCCCAGATTTTGGAATGCATCCTTGGCCATCTTAATACGTCTACGGATCTCAGTGTTGCACTTACTGTCCTTTGTCAAAACACTTTCCGGATATTTAAACTTCTGCCGCTGCTTTATTTTAGTGCTCCCAACCTGCAAATTGCATTTCAGACTCATCCTTTTACTGATACATATACAAATCTTTAAAAAATCAATAATCTGAGGTCACCACCATGATTGATTATTCCTTTTTCAGTGCTATGTCACTTAATGATGTATGTGATCATGGCTCTCCACAAATTCCTTTTTTTATTATATGTGAATTGCCATGAATTCTTGGAGTGATTTCCAGTTGTCTTGTCCATGGTTTGCAATTCAGTGTAGTTCATTGCTTAGAATGATTGCTACTCAAAGCTAGAGATCCCAGACTCAGCTGCTATTTAATCCATAGATGGGGGGAATAGATGGAGTCCTACTTTTGTCAAGGGCATTAGTACAAAATTGAATGAAACAGACTAGGCTAGAATTTGAATTAGGCTCACCAATTCCTGCAATAATATATGTACTACTAGCAATCAATTTGATTCAAACTTATCCTTCTCAAATAAATGGGGGGGGAGGATCAATCAAACTTCAAAGTTTTAATCAGCTAAAAGTTTGTTTGTGAAGCATTCTCATTCTCTTATTTTTACCGCTTGAAAAAATTGGGATGAGGTATCTTTATTAAAATTTTGAAAAGTAAGCCAACATATACATTTTATTAAATCTACCAACCCCTTTTATTAGAGAGACAAGAATAATTCTTGCCATTTTGTTCCACTGTAAACTGAATAGGGTGTGTCTCAATGACTGTTGTGATGCATCTAGTGTGGTAGTCTGTAGTGGTAGGGATTTGGCCCCTTTAACATGTAGCATGCAGGACCACCGGTGTGTAGACATGCCCTGGTGCCCATGAACCAAACCCCAGCTATGGGTTAAATAGCTCCACTACTTTGTGGAAATCTTTGGGAGAAAGAAAGGCCAAGGAGTAAACTCTACACAAATCCTCAGTGGAGCCGCTAAGGCGGATGGACGTCACTCTGTGCTACCTTCTGGCAAATCCTGCAGCCGCGCTGGTAGCAAACCATCTTGGTTTATGCTCTCCTTTGGGCTCTGCTAGCAAGGCCAAGAGGGGGAACTAGACGTCTGGGGAGCCCTAGTTCTCCATACATCCTGCCCAGGCTCATAGCGCAATAGTGCTACTACATTGTCTCCTGAGACAGATGTATGCCGATGCCGAAACTGAATATAGTAAATCTGAAAAGTAAATGATCAATATTGAAATTCATTTTCATGTTTCATTCATTCTATTTTATTCAAAGGTTAATTGTTATTATTTGTAAATAATACTTTTCATGTTAAAACCTATCAAAAAAATTAACTTAACAGAGGTCAAGGAGGTTTATGTCAAATATTCTTTCTATTGGTTTATTAGAATAAGGATGACATCAATAGGAATGGTGAGGTTTTATTGATATCATTTTGGATGTCGTCAGAAAGGCCATTTGGCAGTAAAACTATATGATACCAATAATAATGGTTTGTAACAAGGACACACCTTGAATGAGTTAGAATATTTATGAAGAAGCAATAATGATACTGATGATGATGATGATAGTAATGATAATCCTGGTTCCTTCATGGTGATGATGATTTAAAGTAAGTCAATTTGATCAGCAGCTTTGCACTGACCATATTTTGATATTTATTTCCTGGTTTTGTTTGCTTTTTGGGTTTTAAACTTGTTAAAGCGTGACTGTAAAATACCAAGTTGTTTGCTTGTATAAAGGTAACTATTTTGAGAGGTAATAACATTGCTACGGCCATTGTCCGGAATTAATTGCTTTAAACATGAAAACAAATACAGAAAAAAGATGAAGTGATTATAAAGAAATAGTACAAAAAATATCCTAAAGTTTTTATTGTTATTTTTGTATCATGGTCTTTCCAAGGATCACCAGAGAATTATACTTTGGGGCAGCTGGCAAAATGAGAAGCACATGAAATAGACAAAGAGGGAAAGAAGCAGACTTAGGTAGAAGTTGGGATTAGGAATTTGGGAAGGACATAATGTTGGTAGAAGGTGTAGAAGAAAGGAACAAAAACACAAAGTGAAAATGGGATAGAATTTGAAAAGAAAGAAGAAAAGGGAAGTTAAGAGAATGATAGAAACATGAGGAAGCAGTAGATGAACTCAGACATGGAGGAACATGGTCTGGAGAGGAACAGATAAAAAAGTGTAAAATATTATCAAAGAAGACAATAAATAGGAAGAAAGATAGTAAGAATAAATAAATTAGTTTAATTCAGTTGTTTTTGTTTTTTTTTTCTCTTAAGTTTAGAAAAGAAACCATAGAGTTAATCATACAAAATAAATCCTGAATTGGATGTCCAAAAAAACTTTTAGTAAATTTTTGATTGGTTGACTTAGGTAGTATGTTTTGCTTTCTTGTTTGTTTTTTTTTTCCAAATTAACTGAAATCCAAACTTTAAACAATTGAATGAAAAAGAATGGCATTGTTTTTTACAATGCCATTCTTTTTCTTTTTTTGTTTTTTACAATGCCATTCTTTTTCATTCAATTGAAAAAAAAAGAGAGAAAAGAAGTAAAAAAAAACGAAAGTAGAAAACCTGAAAGATAAATAAGTATAGGATAGAAAAACAGCTAAAAGAAAGAGAAAAAGAATGAATGGGTTAGGAAAGAAAAAAAAAGAGAAGATAAGAAAGATGAGATAGAGAGCAGAGATGTAAAAAAAGGTTTTGAAAGTGACAAGAAAAAGATATAGAAAGAAGAAGAAAAATAAGTGAATAAAAAGAGGGGTGAATTGCAGAAAGAAGAGAAAAATGAGAGACAAGGAATAAAGATGGTGGAGAATATGAAGGAGAGGATAAAGACGGCAAAAACTGAAAAACTGATTAAAAATAGAAAGAGTATCAGATTAATAGGTGTGGTTTGAGAAACATAGAAAAAATGCAAGATTTATTCAGATGAGGTGGGTAAACTTGAAAAGGGATGATTTAAAAAAAGGAAAATGTTTATGATGTCTTGAAATGGATATAAGAAATAAAGAAAAAGAGAAAAATAAAAGAAGCTCTTTGCTTAAGATACTCGCTGAAGGCTGGTCATGCTAACAGCTGTGATTATGATCTTTTAAGTTTTTTGCCAAGTTTTTGACTTCTTGACTTTTGACTATTAACAAACTTTGCACTTGGTATAAAGTTGCAAAGAAATAAGAGAGAACAAAACAAAAAGAAATAAAAATGCACAAAGGCACGCAAGAAAGGGATGAGCCTAATCCATTACTGTTGATAAAGTATTCTCTTTTGATTTTGAAAAAGGAGGGATGTAGATGAATGTTTCAGACAGGTGCACACATACATACTTGAATATAGGCAGACCAATGCGCAGATACAATCATAGACATAGGTAAGTACATTTACTTATTGAAACTGATATGTGCACGCACACACATGTAATTGCACATACACAATCATACACATTCTTTTGATCATGTTTATGTATATGCATATATAGAATATTCATTTTTATACAATATTACATGCAGTTATAGGATGTTAGATTTTATTATGCAAGTTAATATTTTCACAGTAAAATTTATATTAAGCAAGCAACTATTGGCAAAATTTATATAATAAATATATTTCAATTATTGCAAATATTTAAAATAAAAGGATTTGTAATAATTTACTTGGTGGTGTGAGTTTTTAATAATCAACTTGATTGTTTATCATGTTGTAAATACATAACAATAATAATACTAATATTTATTAAAATATTTATTTTTTTAATTTCAGATTTAAATAGTGTGCCATGTAAGAAATATATAATCTCTTCTTCTTTGTTTCACATCCCTTCAGGACATAGGTGATCATGGCTCTCCACTACTTTAATGTGTGGCTCAGTAATTTTTCTCACTTTGCTAAGGCCCCTTCTCCTCATTCCAGCCTCCAAGCTCATCAGATGTGGCTCACTGCATTCCCCTATCCCTCTTGCCCCATTGAGGGTTAAGTTTTCCAAGACCTTCTTCTTTGTTATGTGTCCAAGGAATTTCAGCTGTCTTTTTTCTTATTCTGAGTATAAACTTTCTTTCTGTTGCCATTTTTTTCTTTTGTTGCTTACTCACTCCATCTATGGAATTCTCAATATCCTTCTGTAGAACCACATTTCTGCTGTCTCAATTTTTTTCCTCATCCATGGGAAGAACATTCATCATTCGCTGCCATATAAGAGGATGGATATCATATTGCAGTCCCCCATACATTTTTTTGGATCCTATTGAAATTTTCCCATTTCCCAACACCTTTGTTTGCTTTTAGAATGTTTCCCATATATTTCTTCATTTTACTATTATTTTTTTATCACTGTCAAAGGACAAATATACATATCTTTCTTTTTATTTTTATGTGCCATATCCTTTCAGGACGTAGACGATCCTGGCTCTCGACTTCTCCCAATCCCTTGTAGCTTTCAATAAGTATCGTCCCTCTGCCACTTCCCATATATTTCTGCACCTTCTTGATGTTTACTTCTCTAATTTGTAACTTTTTCTCACTTTCTTCTACTATCCTGTCCAGGAGGTTGTGTAGTTTCTTTTTTGATATAGGTCATCAACACAGTGTCATCTGTGTATCTTATATTCTTGAGATTAAAAAGGAGAAAAAGATATTGTAAAGTTACAGAGTGATGGGAACACAATGTTAGCTTATAATATCTGATGTTATGAGAAATATATAAAATAACTACTTTAGAGTGTGAGATTTTATTATGTAATTTGACAATTTGTTCATTTTAGTGCAAATGACTATATATAATGACTATATATATATATATATATATATATATATATATATATATATATAAAAGTGAACATAGATGTCAATAGTTAGAGGCAACAGTCTGTTCCATAGTAGACTCAATCGTCAGGCCATGACAAGTAGCCTGACGATTGCGTCTAGCATGAAACAGACTGTCGCCTCTAAGTGTTGATTTCTATGTTCACTTTTATATTTACACACGTTCTATCTCTGATATTGAGCACTTTATCCCATAAATATAGCACATCTTAAGACTATATTTCTTCATATATATATATATATATATATATATATATAGTTATTCATGTATATTGTTTGATTTCAGGCATATAAACATTGTCATATGAAATATATAACCACAAAAGATAAATGAGATATTGCAAAGTTATTGAATGATAGGAACACAATGTTAGTATTTATGAAAAAGTTAAACAGAGATCAGATTATTATCCTCATGTTTGTTGTTGTTATCATAAATTTTGAGCCAGTTTGCCCTCCAGCCATCAGGTGGATGTTGATACAGGTAACCTACAGTGAATAGACATGGCAACTCTTTTTTTGTTCATGTTGCATTAAGTTTTTCAAACTTTAACAAATTCAATCACACTATCTCATTTTTAATGACAGATATAACTTAATTTTTCCTATTTTATTTTATTCTTAAAAGCTTTAAAAATATCACTGATTACAAAAATACCTCAACACAGACAAGGTACATAAATGTGCAAAATATATAAAATCAAAAGATTATTATAAAAAATATACAAGTGTTTCTATGATTTGATTGAAAGATATTACCTTCCTAATGAAGCAGAAAGTAGTCTCAAATTAAACCAAAGAACATTTGCATGAAATACTGTCAGGTATATGCAAACACAACATTTATAATGGACAAGTTAACTATAATAACAAAGTATGGAGTCAGATTTAAAATCAGACATGAATACTAGAGGATGTAGTACTCACAGACATGCATACATACATATATATATATATATATATATATATATATATATACACTACAGTTTAGACATGGGGTCACCCTGGAAATGTTTTAAATTGGCCTTAAAAGTAGTTGTTTTATACTTTAAATTAGAGAAAATTATTATACATGGTTAAAAAATGTGTTCATTTTAGTGCAAATAACTATATATATATATATATATATATATATATATATATAGTTATTCATGTATATTGTTTGATTTCAGGCATATAAACATTGTCATATGAAATATATATATAACCACAAAAGATAAATGAGATATTGTAAAGTTATTGAGTGATAGGAATGCAATTTTAGTATTTATGAAAAAGTTAAACAGAGTCAAATATTTACACACACTATTATCCTCATGTTTGTTGTTGTTACCATAACTTTTGAACCAGTTTTGCCTTCCAGCCATCAGGTGGATGTTGATCCATGTAACCTACAGTGAATAGACACAGACAGTTGAACAAGAACAGTCTACCTCCATAGATTAAATAAAAGGTTCTGTTCAGAATTCCTTATAGGTTACCTGGATTGACATACACCTGGTGGGGGCCAGAGGCATAACTGCTAAAATGTTGTGATAACAACAACAAAGATGAGGACAATAGTCTGAATGTAAATAGTATAAGTGGTGATAACACTTTATTCCAGAAATCCAAACAGAGATCAGATAAGAAAAAGAAATTGAAAACATTTTCAAGATAAGAACAAGAAAAAAAAGTTGGATTTGAATCAAATTAAAAGACAAATAAAATAAAAAAGTGGATTGACTAACAAAAGAAATATTTGAAAAAGTTGGTTTTGAGAGTGTATATGGCAAGACATCCTTATAAAATTGAGATTTTTGACTAAATGGAAAGATTCTCTTCACATAGTTTTGTGAATGCTTGATTATTTTTTTTTATCTACTTTTTTGCTTGGAAAATCTGATAGACACAGGATAGATTGAAGGCAAGAGGGACAGAGGAAAACAGTGCATGACATATGTAGTGAGCTTGAGTGAATGGATGGTCAGATGAGGTTTAGGAGAAATAACAAAGACAAAATTTATTAAGAGCTACAAGGGATAAGAAACTGTGGAGAGCCATGATCACCCATATCCTGAGGAGTCATAGCACATAAAGAGAGGATGTTCCATGTACTATGTAATATATTTTTTTAAAACATAGATTCATGAATAATGGATGGCTTAATTTAATTTTATTAATTTATTCATTTTTTTCTTCTTTTCTCTGCTCTTTTATTTTTTGATTTCATAAAAATATTTATGTAGTTGTATATTATATCATTTTTTGGTTCTCTTTGCCTTAATTAATCTGTTAATTTTAATTTTACACCTGCCATCATTCATGTGTGTAGATGCAAATCTGTCTCAATGGTCATTTTGGTTTTGAGCCAAGTCTCTTAAGAAAAGAAATTCTCTATTCATATCCTAGATTTCATATATGTGAATTAAAGAGTTTCAAATTTGACTTTTGCTATACATCTATGTGAACAAGCATATCCAGAGTCTTTCTCTCTCAGTGCTTGATCCCCATTCCCCAAGTAAATATCACAAAGAGATTTGTTAAAGATGTCCATGAAAACTAATTTCTCATCAGTAATTTTTCAGTAATGATTATATTTGTATAGTGTATTGGACAGACCTTATAACTGGGCCAGAGTTTTGGTTCTTTGTGGAAATAGTCAACCAACCCAACTGAGAAGACAATAGATGATGTGGCTAGTATTGTTTAAAAGAAATTATAGAACATTAAAAGACATTATAGTACATTAAAAGAAATTACAGAACATTAAAAGACATTATAGAATATTAAAATCCAATATGGCAATACTTTTTTGTTCATGTTGCATTAAGTTTTGAAACTTTAACAAATTCAATCACACTATCTCATTTTTAATGATAGATATCACTTAATTTTTATCCTATTTTATTTTTATTCTTAAAAGCTTTAAAAATATCAGAGATTACAAAAAATACCTCAACACAGACAAGGTACATAAATGTGCAAAATATATAAAATCAAAAGATTATTATAAAAAATATACAAGTGTTTCTATGATTTGATTGAAAGATATTACCTTCCTAATGAAGCAGAAAGTAGTCTCAAATTAAACCAAACAAAGAATATTTGCATGAAATACTGTCAGGTATATGCAAACACAACATTTATAATGGACAAGTTAACTATAATAACAAAGTATGGAGTCAGATTTAAAATCAGACATGAATACTAAAGGATCTAGTACTCACAGACATGCATATATATATATATATATATATATATATATATATA